AAAGCTAGTAAGCAAGCCTACCAGATCAGATAAGATAGGAGGGTGACCTCCTAGACTGAAGGTCCTGCTGGGGGTTAGGTGTCCAGCTGCTCGGCTGTATCAAGACAAAGGTTGCAATTTCTAGTCATTCATGATGACAATGGATAATCATGGGCTAGAGAAAAGCCAGACAATGACTCCATAGCCCAAACCCTGCAACACAGCTCAGAAGCAAGGCACTTTCCTGAATGTGGAGAGTATCTGTGAAGTTCAAATACATTATCTATATCAATAACTGGCTCTGTGGATGAGGGGAAAGCAGTGGACGTGTTATTCCTTGACTTTATCAAAGCTTTTGATACGGTCTCCCACAGTATTCTTGCCAGCAAGTTAAAGAGGTATGGGCTGGATGAATGGATTATAAGGTGGATAGAAAGCTGGCTAGATCGTCGGGCTCAACGGGTAGTGGCTCCATGTCTAGTTGGCAGCCGGTATCAAGCGGAGTGCCCCAAGGGTCGGTCCTGGGGCCGGTTTTGTTCAATATCTTCATTAATGATCTAGACGATGGTGTGGACTGCACCCTCAGCAAGTTTGCAGATGACACTAAATTGGGAGGAGTGGTAGATACGCTGGAGGGTCGGGATAGGATACAGAGGGACCTAGACAAATTAGAGGATTGGGCCAAAAGAAATCTGAGAGGTTCAACAAGGACAAGTGCAGAGTCCTTCACTAGGGGTTACAGTGGACAAGAAGCTGGATATGAGTCAACAGTGTGTCCATTTTACCAAGAAGGATAATGGCATTTGGGGCTATATAAGTAGGGGTACTGCCAGCAGATCAAGGGATGTGATCATTCCCCTCTATTCGACATTGGTGAGGCCTTATCTGGAGTACTATGTCCAGTTTTGGGACCCACACTACAAGAAGGATATGGAAAAACTGGAAAGAGTCCAGCGGAGGGCAACAAAAATGATTAGGGGGCTGGAGCACATGACTTATGAGGAGAGGCTGAGGGAACTGGGATTTTTTAGTCTGCCAAAGAGAAGAAAGAGTGGGGATTTGATAGCTGCTGTCAACTACCTGAAAGGGGGTTCCAAAGAGAATGGATCTAGACTGTTCTCAGTGGTACCAGATGACAGAACAAGGAGTAATAGTCTCAAGTTGCAGTGGGGGAGGTTTAGGTTGGATATTAGGAAAAACGTTTTTACTAGGAGGGTGGTGAAGCATTGGAATAGGTTACCTAGGGAGGTGGTGGAGTCTCCTTCCTTAGAGGTTTTTAAGGTCAGGCTTGACAAAACACTGGCTGGGATGATTTAGTTGGGATTGGTCCTGCTTTGAGCAGGGGGTTGGACTAGATGACTTCCTGAGGTCCCTTCCAACCCTGATATTCTATGATTCTATGATCAGGGAGGGAGAGAAATGAATCCGAGTCTCCCACATCCTACAAAAGTATCCAAACCCCTTGTCTAAAGGTTTCTAGGAAGCTCTTTCCCCCACCCCCTCTCGTGAATCCAGCCTTTGTTTTAATAAATGCCCAAAACTAGAATGAAAAATTTCAGCTCAAAACATTGTGTTTTGACCCAACTTAAAATTTGTTGGCTGTTCAATACGCTGAATAATTTCATGAATGGTTCAATCCAAAACAAAATGTTTTTTAAAAAGAACAGGAATACTTGTGGCACCTTAGAGACTAACAAATTTATTTCAGCATAAGCTGAAGAAGTGAGCCGTAGCTCACGAAAGCTTATGTGAAATAAATTTGTTAGTCTCTAAGGTGCCACAAGTACTCCTGTTCTTTTTGTGGATACAGACTAACACGGCTGCTACTTTGTAACCTGTCAAAATGTTTTTTGTTATTTTTTTTTAAATTGCCAGCAAACTTACAAATCCATTATTCATGCAGCTCTAAGTATGATACAAGCTTTAATTACATGATCAACATGCTTGTTTTTCCACAGGACCTGGGTATCTCAACAGATTTTGACCCTGCGTGCTAAATTGTTATTTGTGCTGGCAACCAAATTTCTCATTTTGTGCACAGACCAGGCAGATACAGAATCCCTACCTTGTTCTCCAGTACCTGCTCTATTAAGGGAGGGAGGTTACACACGACATTACCTCCATTTTTATTGTATCCTAAGGAAAGAAGCTCATGTGGTGAGGACTGCTGTGTGAACAAAGTGCCAGAAACAGAAATTGAACAAGAAAAACCCCTTCTAGTAATTTGATACTGAGTTCCTTTATAAATGGTTACAATCATTTAAAATGCAGAGATTTACATAAATCTCAATGAGAATCAACTGCTAGCTGAGATTATTATAGCACATTTTAAGATCTAAAATCCTTGTGAGCTTTCTTCTTATGACACACACACACTTCTCCTCTTCAGTTGGATCCAGATGCCCTTATTTGGGCGAAGTATTAGTTCTCCCACAAGGCCAAGCCCTTCTCGCTCTTGACTAGTTTCCACCCAAAAGCGCCGTAGGATGATGGCTAGAACAGCTTTCTCTTCCATCTGTGCAAAGCGCTGGCCTTCAGGTTAAATTGGAACAGAAACAGTAGTAGTTTAGTACTCGTAATTACACGGCAAAGGTTTCCCACAAAATCCAGCATGGGGATAACTGTGCATCTGGTGTCACAGATTATAAACCAATATGAGCCAAATTCAGGGTTGAATGGATGCACGCACAGGAGGAAGAACAGAATTATGTCTATTTATTTATCCTAAAAGTAGAGTGTGCTGCTGTGATTGAGGGGGGAGGAATTAGGCAGATGATCAATGGTTTACGAGAAAAGAGGAGGGGCGAAAAAATAGAAATAAAAAAAAGAACTAAGCAAATTGACAAGGGTCACGGACCAGACAATTTGCCTGAGTCTACACTAGAAATTTACATCAGTATAGCTATGTCTCTCAGGGGCGTGAAAAATCCACTTCCCTGAGAGACGCAGCTATACCAACCTAACCCCCGGGGTAGACAGTGCTGGGTCGATGGAAGAATTCTTCCGTCGCCCTCGCTACCCCCTCTCGGGGACATGGATTACCTACGCTAAGGGGAGAATATATACGCAGTGTATACACAGAATGCTGCAGCTATGCTGGTATAGTGTTTCAAGTGCAGACAAGCCCTTAGCCAAAGATTTAACTCTAAAGAGGTGTGGATTTAAAAAAGATGTCTTAGGCTGTATCTCACCCTTCCTTCAACCCCTTCTCTGTACATTATCTATTCAGACTGCCATCTATCTAGGCAGGAATCTTTATGTCTGCAAAGCGTCCAGATGATTTTGGGTGCTCTAGAAACAATAATTAATTAGCCTGGGTATGAGAAATTAGATCATTTGAAGAACCCCACGGGAAGAAAGAAAATGTTGTGACAATGAAAATGTGAGATACTGGTAAAAATTGCTCTGCTGCAGTTATCAGCCACAGAGACCTGAAATCTCCATTCAAATTCATAGGCTCTGTTGCGGGTACTACAGCAAAGGCATCTTCACCTAAGTGGTAAGAAAATAAACACGTATGGGACGTATTACACTTTACCACCTACCAATACAGTTTCTGGGTCCAGCAGAGAAGGGCACATATGCATATGGGTGCCTTCCCTTAGAATTCTCAGGGAAGAATCTCTCAGGCCTAAATTCTTCTGGGTCTGGGAAAATCTCCGGTTCTCTGTGCAGCACATAAGGAACCACGACTACCTCTGTTGCTTTTGGTATCTTAAATCCTCCTGCAAAAACAGTATCAACATGCCAGTGAAGTCGCTTTCTCTAAATGGATACAAAGCTCAAAACCAATTACTGACGCAGACACCACCTTGATGGAGCAGAAATTTATCATACCTAACATGATGAATTCAGACAAAAGGCTGAGAACTACTTACTAATATGGCAATCTTCACTTGTGGTGCGGGCAAAGAATGGAACAGAAGGGAAGAGACGAAGGGCTTCTTTAACAACACACTCAAGATATCGGAGCTTCTTCAAGTCATCCATTGTAACAGGCCGGTCAGAATTCCCTGATCAGAATCACAACAGGGGTGTGAGAAACAACTGTCCTAATCAGACTAAACACACAAGCTATCTTAAGAGGCTCACAGCTATCTTAAATGATGACCAAACTACAACTGCACCACTGTGCTTATGGGTTTGAATCATTTATCTCAATTTTCATTCTTGTGATGTCCTTAAACTATTATTAGTATTGAGATAGCATTGAAAAGCCCCAGTTATGGACTAGGACCCCATTGTGCTAGGCACTGTACAAATGTATAAGAGATGGTTCTTGCCCAAAAAAGTTTACAATCTAAGTACTGAAATCTGTTACAATTCCCTTAGCATCCAACCAAGTCCTA